TTCCTCTCTTTCTCTCTAATAATCAATCAATCAATTTTAAAATTAAAAGAAAAATAGGAAGAGGTTTTGAGAGCAGTTGATGGGTTCTGCTTTTATAATGGTATCTGTTGAAAATGAGGAGAAAAGTATGCTATTTTTCTAGAGCATCCAAAATATAACAGAAATTCTGTCAAAGCTCATCGAAATTTCAAATTAATATACAGTGAAATATTTTTTAGTGATATTAGGAATATATATTCAAGAACTTCTAAGTATAACATTGGAAAGAAATAAACTCAGAGATTTAGATGGTAATGTCTTCTCTTCCTCCATGTGAAGGTAACAATTTTTGAGGAAAAGGGTGTTTATTCTCTGGAGAGAGTAAATCGGAGGGTTTCCGATTTGGGAGTTACCAGGCACAGTTTAAGTTTGGGGTACCACAATAAAATCAGGGGGTTAAGAAAAATCCTGCAGCTTTTTTATCCCACTGGTAGCCATGCTGCCTTGATAGTCAAGAGATCATAAGAGGCTTTTTAAAGAAATCTGACTAGCCCAAGAGGAAAACCTAAATATATAGGCAACAGAGGCTCCCTGTGCCAGTTCTAGATCTCCATAGAAACAGAATCAATAGGATATATGTATATTTATATTAAAAAATTTATTTTAAGGAATTGGCTTATACAAGTGTGGGGGCCAGAAAGCCCAAAATCTATTGAGCAGACCAACAGGCTGGAAACTCAGGCCTGAATTGATGCTGTAGTCTTGACTCTAAAATCTATAAGGCAGGCTGACAGGCTGGAAACTGAGGCAGGGTTTCTTTGTTACAGTCTTTTCTCTGGGAAACTTGTTTTGTGCTCTTATGGCCTTCAATTGATTGGATGAGTCCCATCTATATTATTGAGGGTAACCTCCTTTAAAGTCAACTGATAGTGGATGTTAATCACATGTATAAAATACCTTCACACCATTGTCTAGAGTAGTGTTTGACCAAACAACTGAGCACCATAGCCTAGCCAAACTGGCACATAAAGTGTAACCCTCACACTCCTTACTGAAACTGCTTCACTGGATCGCCCCCACATCAAAGCTCACCATCAACAAGGCCCACTCATGGTCAGCATCTTAAGTGCCCCATGCTAAAGAAGGGACAGTTAACCAAGAATCAGTAGCCTGGCTGGTGTGGTTTAGTAGCTGAGCATCGACCCATGCACCAAGAGGTTGCTGGTTGGATTCCCGGTCAGGGCACATGCCCAGGTTGTGGGCCAAATCCCCAGTGGGGGGCATGCAGGAGGCAGCCAATCGATGTCCTCTCTCATCAATGTTTCTATCTCTCTTTCTCTCCCTCCCTCTCTCTCCAAAAATCAATAAAGGTTCTTAAAAAGAAAAAAATGACAGAAAAGATGGCGGCGGGTAGGACCATAGTGATGGTGAGTGTGAGTGTGTGAGCGAATGTGAGAGTGAGTGGGTGTGAGTGTAGACGAGCAACCTCAAGCAGTGCAGAAACGTGGGGCAGAGGGCTCCTGCGCTGGGGACAGGGAGCAGCCGGCTCCCACAGTAAGGGGCACGTCAGTGCACTTCCTTCTGCAGGCCAGGAGGCCCTGCCATCTTGGAAAAGCCCTGGTTTCTCGGCAAGGAGGCAACAGGAGCAGCTAGTGGGGAGCGACCTGAGTCTACCAATGCGCCTTGCATCATCGGACCAGTGGACCCCGCTGAGGCAACTTGGACCAGTGCACAGTAATGGCACTGTCAAGGTGCCTGCTGCAGAAGCCACAGCCAGCTGGGAGCCAAGCTGGAGGGGAGCGGGATTGGGAAAACTATCAAAGAAGTAATTTAAAAATTTTTCCAAGCATTAAAGGTCACAAGTTTCCAGACTGAAAAGGCTTACCAAGTTCCCAGCCCAGTGGATAAATATATATCCACACCAAGCCTCTTCATCAGGACATTTAAGAAAACAAAGATAAGAGAGTAAAGCTTTGGTGAGTGGGAGGACAGATTATACCAAATGATCCAGAATCAGACTGACTTCAGGCTTCTCAACAGCATCAGTAGAAGGCAATGGAACAATGTCTTCAAAACTCTAAGTAAAAAGATATTTTAACCTAGAATGCTATTCCCAACCAAAATTTAAGGGTAGAAGAATGATGTTTTCAGAAATAAAAAGTTCTTCAAAAAGTCACTTCCCAACCACTTTTTCTCAGCAAGTAGTGGAGGATGTCTTCTTCTTTTTTTTTTTTTTTAAGAAAAAAAAGGAGGAGGACATGAAATTTAGGAATCAAAGGATCTAACAAAAGCGAGGCAAAGGGAATACTTTGCAAGATGGTGAAGGGAGATCCCAGGACACAATTGCACCAGACAGAGAATAAGGTCAGAGGGTTCTGGGAGACATGTCGCCAAGAATATAAAATTGAGAGGACACCTGGTATGTTTAAACATATTAAGCAGAGAGTTACACCTCTTGGGGATAGGTTGGAGACAGAAAAAACTAAGCAAATTAAAAAACTAACAAACAAAAAAACCCCGATAAAATGATTCAAGCCAGGAAAACAGGAAAAGCAAAAGGTTATTGAAGAAAAGTAATAGCATCAGTTGGTACTACTTGACTCAGGTATGAATACTATTTACTTAGTCAAAATAATGTAAACAGTAGATATTGTTTAACAAAACAATTACATATTTGTGTGGAGGACATATATTTGTGGTGCAGGCAGCAAAGCAGAGACAGAGAGAATTCTAATCATGTATAATAGAAATAGATGATATGTTATATAGGAAAATCAAGAAACAGCAGTCCAGTAATGGTATTTAAAGGGTTAGAGGTAAATTTCAGTAAAACAAACAAACAAACAATTAAAAGGGTTTGTCTTTAGGAGGAAAAAAATAATGGTAGGGACATTTATATTATGTTTTTCATAATAAGGTTTGTAAAACTGTTTGATCATTCTTACATAATTTTGATAAAAATTCAAAACTGGGGAAAAAAAAAAAGTCCCACCTTCCCAAACCTGCAGGATAAAACCCAAACTCCTGGTAGTCTAAGAACTCAGTTTATGGAGTCAGAGTGACCCGGGTTTTAATATCAGCTTTGCCACTTACCAGCTATGTAACCCTGGGCAAGTTATCTAAGTTCTCCAAACTCTGTGAAAAGGGGATAATAATAGTTTTCATGGTAATGGTAAATACTGACTGATTCACAGCCCTGGTTGTGAAGATGAATAAAATAACCTATGTCAAGTCTAAGCATTATACTTGATACATACTAAGTGATGTATAAACTTTCACTAATGTGTTCTGCTATTATCAGGCTGACCTTCAAGGTCCTTTGCAATCTCTCCAACCTGCTTTTCCAGCCTCATGTCTTATTACTCCTCCGGACAAACTCTAAGCCTGGGCCGACAGTTCTCATCCTTTCTGAAATACACCATGCTCTTTCCCATCCCCTTGCTGTTGCTTGTGCAATTGTTTGTTTTTGTATTCACCAACCTACTTTGGTTGAAATAACCATGGAAATGAAATACATGTGTTATTTACCCCCTGTAAATAACTGGGCAATATTTGCATTCATAAAATCCAAGATGTAAATATTTTCTCTCGGGGCTAAAAGCTGAAAGGAGGAATTCCATTTTTGCTCCAGACATGTTAATCTTACCGTTGCTCAAGGTTGCCATGGTTCCTGTTTGGTCCTTCCAGTACTTCAGCTTATGCCACTACATCTGAGCAAGTGAAAATACCTCATTTGATTAAGACAGGGAGACAGGCAGGGTAAGATTCTTGTGAGATAGATCAATGCTGGAACTAGAAGTATAAGCCAAGATTTTTGTGTCTCAGTAGCAAACTGAGCCTGGCTACCTCTATTTCCAGCTTCATTTTTTTCCTAGGTATCAGGGAGTGGTTTATTTTGTAAACTAGAGAGATATTCTTTTCTCTTTTCTGTGGTACAGTTTAAATGGAAAACAAGTAACCATTTGCTTGTAGTTTTTTAAAATAAATGCTTTGATTTTGTAAGTAATTTGTTAGAGCCACACTATTATTATTATTATTATTTAATCCTTATTGGATTTTAAAGAGGGAAGAAGAAAGAGAGAGAGAAACATTGATGTAAGAGAGAAACTTGGATCAGCTGCCTCTCATATGTGCCCTGACTGGGAATGGAACCCACAACCTAGCTATGTGCCCTGACCAGGTACTAACCTGCAAGCTTTTGGTGTATGGAACAACGCTCCAACCAATTGAGCCACCTGGCCAGGGCATTGGAGCCACTTATTTTATTAGAGAGAGACTTTGTTACAATATAAAATAAATTCTAGCCTAAAAAAATAAAGATTAAACCACTGAAAATTAAGCTACTTAACAATGACAAATCACACTCTTCTGTCAACTTCACAATCATTTTCAAATTCACAGACATAAATAGAAGAGTCCCTTAAACAACAATGAAAATCTTGTGGGTTTTTTTTGTTTATTTTTTAATTTTTTCATTGATTTTTTTTAAGCTAGAGAGGAAGGAGGGAGAGAGAGAGAGAAACATTGATGTGAGAAAGACACATGGATTGGTTGCCTCCTGCACAACCTTGACCAGGCTGGGGATCAAACCTGCAATTGAGGTACACGCCCTTGACCGGGAATCAAACCCATGACTCTTTGGTCCGCAGGCCAACACTCTAACCACTGAGCCAAACCGGCCAGGATGTAAATCTTGTTTTTATGAGACTCACTAACCTATCTCTGATGACATTTATGTCTCATGGTATTTCCTTGGTTCATATCAAGACTCTTACAGACTTTCAGTCTCTGGTGGACACAGAAAGTAAATAGCAATGTGGGAACAGTGTTCATTGCTCTTGATCACTTAAAATGGTCACAAGATTTCATAATTTTATACCACAGATTTAAAGTAAGAAGAGGGATGGTATTATCTTCCTTCTAATCATCATTCTAAGTTGGATTCAGATAGACTATTCGGAATATTATGCAAATTCACCAGCATTTCATCATTTATTATCCTTGCCATCAATATTTTGTTGATACTACCTGGCAGGGAGATACCAAAATCACGAAGGTGGTGTTCTTAGGGCAAGGCTTGTCCATTGCACTCCGGATGTGCTGACCCTTGCAATTTCTCCAAATGCGGAAAACTTGAATGAATAATTTGTGGTGGTGGGGACTGCATTCGAGGTCTCCCCTAAAAATAAATTCTTTTGTTAATATTTGCTGATACTTTGTGAATGTCCTTAAGGCATATGTTAGTAAATCAGTTTTTATAAGGTCTACATGTATATGGACTAGGAATATTCTCTTTCCTCATAGGGTCAATAATTTGTGAAAGGCTGTTTCATGTGAGCCTTTTAATTTTTAAAATATCAACAATAAAGTGAAAGATGAGAACATTTGAATGCAAAATAGAACATTTAAAATCCTCATGTTCGGTTTTGAAAACCTCTATCCCCTTGGTGTTAAGGAGGAATAAAGTAGAGGACATTTAGGTGAGCAATATAACTCTAACACTTACTCTTGCATTCAGCCTCAGTCCTACTTCTGTGCTTTTCCTCCCAAGCCAAATACTATTGCTTAGGATACTTCAGGAACAATTAGAGTTCAGTTCAATCTCTATTTTCAGTAATTTCTTATAAACTGAGTATTAACCCACGATTGCCCTTTATCTCTAATTTGTTTCTTGATTATTAATATCTTTGTTAATTTAAACATATGTGCCTGCTTAAATCTCATGGAAACAAAGTCTTGGAGAGTTGACAAAAATATGTCACCAATGAAAAGTTGCCAACTACAGGTTGGGACTGTTCTTAAAATAAGAAGGTCAAGTACAAAAAAGGACCCATAAACTAAGTTCCCAGGACCCTCTAGTATGCACTTGATACCAATGATTAAATATGAAAGGAATACCAAATATGAACCTTTTATGATTCAGAAATTTCATCTAATAATGGCATCTTCCCAAATACAATGGCTGCCAAATCTTCAATTAACAGATTGGAGAATATTGTTGAAAAATTGGCAGTTGTCAAGTGGTAATCCCACTAATGGGTATTATGTTTGATAAATTAATTCTGAGGCTTAACTTCCATGTGGAGTAGAAAACAATTAGAAAGTCAAAGAGAAAACAAAAAGTAAAAACACAATAGCACAAGAAAAAAAATTCAAAGAAATGGCTTATAGCCTCTCATAGAGAAAAAGACAAGAAGAAACAGACATTTCCAGAAATATGGCAGGTGATATACAAGATGACTACCTCATTATTTTGCCTCAAGTGTCTGAGGGCAAAGGCTTTTTGTTCATGATGATTTTACTGCTGTCTATGCAGGACTCACTCGATTATATGTGATGATCTTGTACTTTTTCTGCAGCAGCGTCTATAGAATGTTTACTTTGGGTTTCCCAGAACAACAGTCTAATGGCCAACAAGGCCTTACACCCCTTCCCACCAAGTGGTACCCAGGGAACCCTATTCCTGACTGCAGTTCATAACTGACCATTAGGTATAACATTTCCTAATTCCTTTACGTTTCTTATTCAACTTTTTTATTCTCTCTTTCAACTATTAGTAATACACACTTTAGGATAAAACACTTGACACATTATTTTAGGTTTAGTATTCCTCATTTTCAAATGTGCTTTTTAGACTTTAATTAAACCTAGGTCCCTGAAGGTCTACAAGGAAGCCCTATTGTTTTTTATGCAGAAGGATACAATAAAAATGAAATAATGATTACAGACAGTAATAATGAAAAAAAATAATAATAAAGAAACTCTCCTGAGTTATTCTGAACTTAGAAGTTTTTCTGCCTTTTCTCACACCTAAATTCACACTATTAAGTCTTTTGGGGGAAATCTGTTTTCTTAAGGAGGTTGAGAGGCATTATATTCTAATTCATAATATAAAAAATATTCTTATTAACTGATTTCTTATAGGTGTAACAGTATATATAAATTAAAATACAAAATAGGCCCTGGCCAGTTCGCTTAGTGGTTAGAGCGTAGGCCAATGGACCAACGAGTTGTGGGTTCAATTCCAGTCAAGGGCACGTACCTTGGTTGCGGTTCGTCCCTGGCCCTGATTAGGTCATGCAGGAGGCAACCAGTCATGTGTCTCCCTCACATCAATGTTTCTGTCTCTTCCCCTCTCGCTCTCTCCCTTCCCTGCCTCTCTCCCACTCTGTCTAATAATAAATGGAAACATATCTTGGATGAGGATTTAAAAAAAAATAGAAGAAAAAGTCCACTTTCAGCTTATTTTATTAGACAAAAATATTATTTTATTATTTATAATTAAATAATAAAAATTATTATTTAATACTAAAAAATTTATTATCTTTCATGTTTAGACAGAATTCATTCATAATGAAACCAAAATAATTCTAATTTGACCCATTCGCCTTCAAGTCCTATTATTGATCATCTTTTTTGTAGAATTTTATTTTATTGGAACAATTTAAAAATAACCACTTTGCCTTTAAAATCCACATATAAATGGATATAAAACAGTTAAATAAAAAAACTTCAGTCACTGGTTAGTTTTAGCTATATTTACTGAAGCCAAAGAGTACATTTGCTAGTGGTATACAAAAAATAACCATAGAAAACATTTTTGGAGGTGAATAATGAAGTAGAACCTTGAGGAAGATTTATCCTTTCTTCCAAATTCCACAGCAAGGCAAAGTGAATTTTACTTTTAAAGGCAGATGCTGTGGGCCTGTTTTTGCAGAGAAGGCAAAAGAATTTCTCTCCTTGAGGTGCAGTGTGGCGCAAATCTTTTAACAGCTAATAGAAACAGAAGCAACAAGGTACAGAAATCAAATTGATGAAGATACCCTCATCTAAAATTTGTATTTTTAGTAACTGCAGACAAAGAAATGAAAAGAGTGAAAATGTTCCATAGATATCACCTCAGACAGAAAACATTCTAGCATGTGCCAGTTTGGAATGGACAGAGGAACAGAAATGACACAGAAGCAAAGGAAGCATAGGACATGGGAAAACCAGGTGAGAAACAGTTTCCTGTCAGCAATGCCATTCCACCCACCAGATGATAAATCTAGCCTAATTGTGGTAATTCTCTTTACCTTGCCAATAAATGGGCATGTTACCTAGTGAGAAAAGTCTGGAGGAAGTGGGTTTAGGGGGAGGTCTTAGAAAGGCTTCCTCACTCTTATAAAAGAGAAAAAGGGAGGAATTTCCTTTTTTCATTGGGAATATACTCAACCAAACCTATATTCTGAAGTTGGCAAAGTGGATGAATGGAAGGAACTTCAGTATTTGATGACATTGCTGAATTACTAAATCAACCAATTTTGAATCCTGGCCTACCTCTATACTTCCATTTATGTGAAGTAATGTTTCCTTATGTTTAAACCTAGATCAGGATTTTCTGTTAACTGTTAACCAAGAATTTTCTAATTGATATAACTAATGAGGAAGATTGGGTATTTCACCAAAACTCTTGCATGGATATATTTTAATTATGGTTTCCATCCCTGGCTTGGTAGCTCAGTTGATCAGTGCACTCTCCTCATAGGCCAAGGTTGTGGGTTCCATGCTCTGTCAGGGCACATACAAGAATCCACCAATGAATGCATAAATAAGTGGAACAATAAATTGATGTTTCCCTCTCTCTCTAAAATCATTCAGTAAAAAATTTAACTATGGTGTGGCTTTGGCAGCACGTATGCTAAAATCGGTACAGCACAGAGAAAATTAGTACAGCTCCTGTGCAAGGCTGACAGGCAAATCCATGAAGTGGTCCATATTTTTCAAAATGGAAGGTGAAATAAAGAGCTTCTCAGACAAAAAAAAAAACAACAACAAAAAACTAAAGAATTTTATTACTATCAAACCAGCACAGCAAGAAATGCTAAAGGGACTGTTGTAAAAAGAAAAGGAGAAAGAGAGAGGAACATAGATGAAAAGAATAAAAATGACAATAAATACCTATCAATATTAACCTTAAATGTAAACGAATTAAATGTGCCAATTGAAAGACTAGGAATAAACCCTAAGAAGCCTGAAACACCAATCAGAAAAAATATATGTACCCTCATGTTCATAGCAGCACTATTTACAATAGCTAAGATCTGGAAACAGCCCAAATGTCTAGCAGTAGATGAATGGATGAAAAAGCCATGGTACATATATACACAATGGAGTACTATGCAGCTGTAAGAAAGAAACAGCTCTTATCCTTTGAGACTACATGGAGGGACCTGGAAAGTATCATCCTAAGTGAAACAAGCCAAACAGAGAAAGACAAGTATCATATGATCTCACTTATTTGTGGAATATAATGAACATAACAGTCTGAAGAACAGGGTAGTCCCAGAGATGCAGAAGTAGGGTACATACTGACAATCCCCAGATGAGGGGGTGGGAGGGAGAGATAAACCACAGATCTTATATGCATGTATGCATGAACAATGGACATGGACAACAAAACTGGGGACAGGGCAGGGAGGGAGGGGAAGGAGGGTGTCAATGGGGGGAAAGGAGAAACATCTGTAACAAAATTAAATAAAAAAAATAAAATAAAAAAATATATATAACCCATAAATATGCTGTCTACAAGACACACAACTCAGAACAAAAGGCTCACACAGGATGAAAGTGAAGGGATGATGCCCTGGCCAGTTTGGCTCAGCGGTTAGAGCATCAACCAGAGGATGAGAGAGTCCTGGGTTCAATTCCTGCTAAGGGCATGTACCTTAGTTGCAGTTTTTCCCTGGCCCTGGTTGGGGTTGTGTGGGTAGCAACCAGTAGATGTGTCTCTCTAACATTGATTTTTCTCTCTCTCTCTTCCTCCCGCTCTATCTGAAGATAAATACAAAAAGTGTCCTCTGGTGAGGATTTAAAAAAAAAAGAAAGTGAAGGAATGGAAAAAATTTTCCATGTAAATGGAAATGAAAAAAAAGCTTGGGTAGCAATATTCATATCTGACAAAATAGACCTCAAAATGAATGCCATAACAAGAGACAAAGAAGTCACTACATAATACTATAAGGATAAATTCAACAAGATGATATAACCCTGCTAAACATATATGCATCCAATATAGGAGCACCAAAATGTATTTGAAAAACTCCTGGAGGACTTTAAGGGAGAGATTGACAGCAATACCATCATAGTAGGGCATTTTAACACCCAACTGACATTACTGCATAGATTTTCCAGACCAAAAAATCAACAAAGAAACAGCCGCCTTAAGTGACACAATAAATCAGATGGATTTAATTAATATTTACAGAACCTTTCATCCCAAAGCAGCAGAATATACATTTCTCTCAAGTGCACATGGAACATTCTCAAAGACAGACCACATGTTAGGTCACAAAATAAGTCTTTACAAGTTCAAGAAGACTGAAATCATACGAAGCATGTTCTTGGATCACGATAGCATGAAACTAGAAATCAACTACAAAACAAAAACAAAAACTCAAAAATATTCAAACACATAGAAGCTAAATAGCATGTTATTAAACAATGAATGGGTTACTAATGAGATCAAGATAAAAATCAAAAACTACCTGGAAACAAATGAAACTGAACACACAACAACCCAATCTCTTTAGGACACAGCAAAAGCAGTTCTGAGAGGGAAGTTCACAGTATTACAGGCTTACCTCGAGAAACAAGAAAAAGTTCAAATAGATGATATAACCCTAAAACCAAAAGAATTAGAAAGAGAACAACAAGAAAAGCCCAAAGAAAAAGGAAGGAAATAATAAAGATCACAGCAGAAATAGATGACATAGAGACTGAAAAACAATAAAAAATATCAATGAAACTAAGAGCTGGTTCTTTGAAGAAATAAACAAGATTGATGAGCCTTTAACCAGACCCATCAAGAAATAGAGAGGAGGGACTTCCAGTCAAGATGGCGGAGTAGGTAAACGCGGTATCGCGTCCTCCCACAACCACATCAAAGTTACAACTAAACTACAGAACAACCATCATTCAAAACCACCTGAAATCAAGCAGAATGGAAGTCCTACAACTACGGAATTAAAGCAGCAGCCACATCCAGACTGGTAGGAGGGGCGGAGGAGCGAGGGGCGGCAGTGCAACGGGCTGGTCCCACACCCAAGTGTGGTGGATAAAAATCAGGAGGACACCTTGGATGGGAAGGTCCTTCCTGAGGACTGAGGGGTCCCCGTCCCACACCAGATGCCCTGCTCAGGGTTCCAGTGCCAGGAAGAGAAGTCCCCATAACTTCTGGCTGGAAAAACCAGCAGGAACTGAGACTGAGTCGGCTGGAGCCCCAGGCAGCTCCATAAAGGGCCCACACATGGACTTACTCAGACTTTCTCCCTCTAAGCTTGGAGGGGAGACAGCTCCAGGGGCGCCAGAGACATACAGTGAAGAACTGAGCTGTTTGGCACTGGATCGAGGGCTGGAGAGGGGGCTTTCTCGGGGACAAACGTGCTGTAAGAGGCCTTAGTTCCTTTGGTGAGCCCTTCCCTGGGGCGGCAGACAGCCGCCATATCTGGGACTCCAGCAACCTGGCTCACACTGGTTGCCCCGCCCTGGTGACTCCCTGAGGCCCCGCCCCGCCCCTCCCAACTTTCAGGCCCACCCAAGCTGTTGCCACTTGCTTAACCATAGGATTGGCCTGTCTTGGATCCTTCAGGTTTTTCCTAAATTCTTTCAAAGGAGCAGCATCTCGAGCCCCATACCTCTCATTAAGTAATACACTGAAACAAACACAGGGAGGCAGCCAAAATGAGGAGACAGAGAAACAGGTCCCAAATGAAAGAAAAGAATAAAACCCCAATAAAAGAACTAAGCAAAATGGAGATAAGCAACCTAACAGATACTGAGTTCAAAATACTGCTTACAAGGATGCTCAATGAACTTAGTGAGAACCTCAGTGAACTTAGGGAGGGCCTCAAGAGCATAAAAAAGGACCAGTTAGAAATCATGGATACACAGTTAGAATTGAAGAAGGCATTAACTGAAATAAAGAATACTTTGCACAGTTTCATTAATAGAGTACGTAAACCGCCCTGGCCAGTTTGGCTCAGCGGTTAGAGTGTCGGCCTGCAGTCTGGAGAGACCCGGGTTCGGTTCCCGCTAAGGGCATGTACCTCGGTTGCAGTTTGTCCCCGGCCCTGGTTGGTCGTGCGGGTGGCAGCCACTCGATGTGTCCCTTCACGTCGATGTTTCTCTCTCTCTCCCTTCCTCTCTCTCCCTCCCACTCTATCTGTACAAAAAATGGAAAAATATCCTCGGGAGGATGAAAAAAAAAAAAAAAAATAGAGTACGTAAACCCAAGGAACAAACCATCGATTTGGAATATAAGGAAGCAAAAAATGCCCAATCAGAACAGCAAAAAGAAAAAAGAATCCAACAAAATGAGGATAGTGTAAGGAGCCTCTGGGACAATTTCAAGTGCCAACATTCGCATCTTGGGGGTGCCAGAAGGAGAAGAGGGAGAACAAGAAATCGAAAACCTGTTTGAAACAATAATGGCAGAAAACTTTCCTAACTTGGTAAAGAAAACAGACATACAAGTCCAGGAAGCACAGAGAGTCCCAAACAAGTTGAACCCCAAGAGGCCCACACCAAGACACATCATCATCAAAATGCAAAAGGTTCAAGACAAAGAGAGAATCTTAAAAGCAGCAAGAGAAAGGCAGCTAGTTACCTACAAGGGAGTTCCCATTAAGCTGTCAGCTGATTTCTCAAAAGAAACTTTGCAGGCCAGAAAGGAGAGGCAAGAAATATTCAGAGTGATGAAAAGCAAGAACCTACAACCAAGATTACTCTATCCTGCAAAGCTGTCATTTAGAATCAATGGCCATATAAAAACTTTCCCAGACAAGAAAAAGTTAAAGGAGTTTATCACCACCAAACCGTTATTATATGAAATGATGACGGGTCTTTTTGAAGAAAAAGATAAAATGTATGAACAAACAAAATGGCAATGAATACATATCTATCAACAATGGAATCTACAAACAAAATGAACAGGTAGAACAGAAACATTCTCATAGATACAGAGAACATTTTGTTGGTTGCCAGTTGGGAGGGGGGTTGGGGAAATGGGTGAAAAAGGTAAAGAGATTAAGAAGTACAAATTCATTGCTAGACTGACAAACCTAAAGGGAAAGGGGTTGGGGGTGGGAAGAAATAAACCAAAGAACTTATATGCATAACCAATGGACACAGACAATAGTGTGGGAAAAGGTGGGAGGGGGGCAGGAGTGGGAAGGAGGGGGGGTCAATGGGGGGAAATGTGGAACATCTGTAATACATTTTACATCCAACAATAAAGATTAAAAAAAAAAAAAGGAAATAGGACCCAAATAAATAAAATCAGAAATGAAAGAGGTGAAGTGAAAACTGACACTAAAGAAATACAAAGGATTTTAAAGAAATACTATGAAAAACTATATGCCAAAAAAATGGATAACCTGGGAAAAATGGACAAATTCCTGGAAACATACAGTCTTCCAAAACTGAATCAGGAAGAATCAGAAAACCTTAATATACCTATAACAACTAATGAAGTGAAGCAGTAATCAAAAGTCGGACCAGATGGCTTCATAGGCAAGTTTTACCAAACACTGAAAGAAGAACTAACACTTATCCTCCTCAAAGTATTCCAAAAAATTCAAGAGGAGGGAAGACTTCCAAGCTCTCTTTTTGGGCGTGCAGGAGGCAGCTGATTGATGCGTCTCTCTCATTGATATTTCTCTCTCTTTCCCTCTCCTTCCTCTCTCTCTACAAATTAATAAAAATATATTTTATTATTATTTTTT